TGTCGTTCGCGGTAGTGTCCTTCGCGGTATTGTCTCGCGGTAATGTCGTTCGCGGTAACGTCGTTCGCGGTAATGTCGTTCGCGGTAATGTCGTTCGCGGTAACGTCGTTCGCGGTAATGTCGTTCGCGGTATTGTCGTTCGCGGTATTGTCTCGCGGTAATGTCGCTGTATCCCCTAAAACGAGCACGTATGACAACACCCAAAGAAGAAGATTTTCTAAATGATCCAAATGTTAGGCGTACCACGAATAAAAGACCAAAGAATGATGCACGTAAAAATCTCCCCAACTCAGTAGGAAATGTAAAGGATAATGGTGGAGTAATTTACAAGCAGCAATGAAATATTTCTACAATAACTTATCAGAGAAATAACTATCAACAAATAGAAATGACCCAATCTAATCTAGAAAATAGTCATACCAATGTATCTGTCTCACAACAGGCATTACGATTTGCCGTGAACGATAGTTTTCCGCCGCTGAAAATTGAGTGTAACCCGAAACTGCTGTACCAACAAAATGGTGCCCAACCGGTGAAAGAATTGATGAAAGACATTGAACAAACTTTCCGTCAAGTGTATTCCCGATATCAGCGCCTATTAGGGTTTGAGCATTTCGACATTGATCGAAATGGTGATTTACCATGTTATACGAATTCGATAGAAATATTAATTTTTTTATGTGAACACATTTGAAACCTATTTTACCTTTGAAACTATCGGTGCAGCATGCCATTATTATCAATTTATCGATAGAAGATGTGAAAAGGGGTGTTGAAGACAGGTGAAAATCAGTGTATTTGATAGAAGAAATGACAGGAACGAAAAATCAACATACGCGTCATGTTCGGGTCGATTTACTATCGAGAGACGAATACGAAAATTTTTTAAATATTGGAAAAATTTCATTAGATGGTCAACTGTACGATGTAAACAAATTTCTACCCTCACTCAAATTACTCATGTGCAACAAGTGTAACCATCCCGGCCACATGAAAAAACACTGTCAACAAAACGTTGAGATATGTAGACGATGTGGAAATGATAGGAACAACGGGAATGATCATAAAACATGTGAAATAAAATGTCAGCACTGTGGGGAAGGTCACGAAGCAACAAACTTTAAATGTCAGGTGATCAAAAATTACCGACAAGAATTGTTAATCACACTGATTGAGTCACAAAATGATAAAAGTATAGATATAGGGTATTTTCTAGTTGTGAGAAAAAAATATGAAAAAGGATGATGTAAGGTGGCTGATAACAAAAGTAAAAAAGAATAAATAATCTCTCCTGCCTGTTGCATAAAAATGTACAACAGAAAAGAAAGAAAGAATAGTTCCTTGTGTCGAGGTTATCTCGTGTAACCAAGACATAACACAGCCAATGACAGATACTGCCTAATAAAAGAACAAAGCAATATTTTCGAGTAAACACGATACAATATTTGTCTACTCTGCTCTACCCATCGTTCTTGAGCTCGTGTAGCTCTCATTCTGCATAACAAGTTTTAGAGAACCACTTTCACCGATGCACTATGTTTACATACTTTCTTTCCGAAAATAATGACTTCGTGCAATGCATAAAATTCAACAAACGAATAGGCCAAGAGGACAAATGGTGTTGCTATCAAATGAAATAAATTTCGTAGAATAAGACTGCATTCATCAACATTCAGTAGTTTGGGAATAAATACATCGATGATGAACGCTATTACAATTGTTAACATTTGTACAGCCAACAGACCATACATGATATAGCTGATAACTAGTGTATAGCTCTGTTCGTGATTAAAACATTAGAAATACAAATCTTCGTTTTCATCTTCGTAACTGTTCGTTTTATCTGTTCTTAATTTTCCATATAATTCATAAGCACAGCTTTCATTATCACTATTTAGATATTCGTATTCACTCGAGTCATCTCCGTCATTCCCACTAACATTTTCCTCTACCGTTCGCTGATCAATCGTTCCATCATCATCGCTGTCTTCATCATCGATTAGCATCGTGTTCCAGAGAAATCTAACACGAGTGGCAACATGTCTGTGATAGAATGCCGCCTGTGCTTGTGCTTGTTGTTGCTGTGTGGTATCGGAAGTTCTCCTCACGCATTTTTGAGGATCACATTTGCACAAAAACGTACACAACGACTGCTTACAACCGCAGTTTTTACAGTTTTTTTTACATTTACACCCGGTTAACTTTGGGTAACTTTCCAGATTTTTCCATTTGATGACCAGCTCACCATCGACCTCCTCGTAACCATTACCTTTCAGATCAGGATAATACATATTCGATTCACACGCCTGCATCCAGATATTTATTTGGACATTTGCTCGTGCGATGTGATACTGGAAGACATCATCTGTGGGTGGGAGCCGATCTAGCAGAGATTTGGTTGAGATTCCTTGGATAAATTTCTTTGCACAAAAAACTCGGGTTTCGTTCAGTGTTCTTGCTGCAGAATCGTAACCTTTAATATTCGAAATTATGTGAGTTAGAGACGCCGAGTAAGAATTAAGAAAATCACTTAACTTACAAGATATGATTAGTTTTTCTGCAGCATGACGTGCGGCTTCGGACAATGGGAAAGCACCAAATGCCATCGTTGTATGTTTGGCTGTTTGCGAAGAATTTTTGAATTATTTTCTTTTTTGATACGTTTTTTATATGACTCGTCGTATCACACCCGGAGAGAGCATGCAGAGCCAAGAGAATTTTTGAATCTGTTTGACAACTAATTTTCTGAACAAAAGCAAATGATTTGGTGTAAATAGTCGCTTGTCTTTTTTGTAACTCTTACCTCAGCCATTTCAGTACAGTTTACAAATTTTTGTTCCTGATGCTGTTGTCGAAAAAGGCGGCTCTATTTCGACGATGAAGTGGTTGTACGCATCTCTTCTGTGTGGTAATATTATTGTACTATTCAACTGATACGTTTGCATATTTCGATTGGCATGTCTTTTGATAAACGACTTTGTGTCTGAACGAGAAGAGGAAGATGGAGTAAGCCAGTGACGAGCAGGAGAAACTAACCTTTACTCTTCACTGAGTCAAATAACACATCGACTCTTTCATAGTTTAAACTTCTTTTCATGATGCTATTGAGTAGATCGATGGCGTATGATGATACGGTATCATTTTGCTTCGGTCTGTGTTGTAATAGTACACCTCCATCGATCAATAGCACGGAATTCTCCAATTGATTATTTGATGGAACAAAGGCAAAATCTAGAGGATAATTTTGAATGAAATACTCGATAATTTTGCTTTTGTTCGATTGATTCAGGAGATTCGACGAATCAGACAAAGCGGGTGGTATAGAAAAGTTTTCAAAGCAAAACGCCTCGACTTTGGGCATCTTGCATTAAATCAAATTTTGTAGATTCCACATAATAACTAGCGCCTTCATTCTTACGCCATTCGAAGGCCAAGTGAAGCGCAAAAAGCTAATGATTTGATTTTTGCCCATGGCTCTTGAAGCCTCAGTTTTCCGCAAATTTAGTTTTTGAGGAATTCTAAAACATAATCAAAACTTTTCATAATGAGGCATAATTATAGCTCGCACATTTCTGATTAAAATGAGACGTCTCCCAGCTTTACACGACCTTTCTTTACAAAGTTACAGAATTTACAAGAAAAACCCTAAATGTTCATTGTCAGCTCAAAGCTGTAGAAATAAGAAGAAATTAATTTAGGACTTTTCTTGCAAATTCTATAACTTTGCAAAGAAAGGTCGTTGCCAGTGAGTGTGACGGACGTGCATACATATAGTCATGTAGCAGTGTGACAGACGTACATACACAGAATCACTAATGAGTGTCATTGACATTGGTGTACAGAGGTGCTTGGGTTCGAGCTTTATGTGGGATCGGGGAAGTGTAACACCTATGCTGACTGCGAGCGCGGACCGAAGGGAAACGTGAGCATTGTCTGTAATTTAGAAATTTTTTTAGACCCCTGGTGTTCTTTGGGTATTTTCGAGAAACCTAGTATAGATTGAAGGTATGTGACGAAGTTGACACATCATGTCAGAGAAATAATCATAACGCATTGTAGATGGTCTCTAGCGAACACCGACCGAAAGGAGGTGTAAGCATTGTTTTGATGAAGAAGGCCAGACTTTGTCCCCACTTAGGTTTCTTTATCAAGGGTAAGAAGACTGATAGATTTGGTAATATTACGTCCATTTCGGACATTTGTACGACAGATAAAACTAAATCAAATTACAGAGTCTCGATGAACGATAGGAATTCTGATAAATGTTTCTTACCGGTGAAAAGCTAAAGCAAGTGGTTCTGTAAACTAAGATGGAAAATATGGACGTTCTCATCGTGAAAAATATGCATCAATTCTGTAGTAGCAAGATCGAGTTACAACAGAATGAATAATAATTCCGAGAGTACACTCGGTGGACTTACAGGTAATGGACCTAATGAATCGATGCGATTCACGTTATTTATTCTCTAGTCTCGAGTGAGAAGTTTTTCAATATAAAAACGAATAGGTTTTTCTGTCTGTTTCAGCTGAAATTTGAAGCCATTAGAACGTACATAATGAAAACAAAATAGTTTTCTCACAAATGCACTTTTGTCTCTTTGTATTCTGGATCTTGGATCGAAGAGATCAATTTCTTGTTCGGTCATCTCCATATCAAAAAATAAAAAGGTAAATCATCAACATGTGAACTTGCATGGTAGTTCTGAAAAGACACAATAATGCAGTATGATTCAGAAACAAAATTTACTTTTCTCTTACTCTTACAAATTGAGAAGAGAATTTGATCGTTTTGTAATATCACCTAGCACGGTTCTTTGTGCAGAAATGTCTGAACTCCCATCATTTTCAGCACTTTCGTAGTTCATTGTCATGTCTAGCGTCTCTTAAAAGACATGAGTTGAGAAGGTCTGTTTACGCATTGTTAGTTTTATGTAATTACCTGTGATTCTGAACAAAATAAAAGCAAATCACATGGCTTTGGTCTGCTAAGACTATATACTTTCAGTAAATCATTGTAGCATCGTCTATGAACTCAACAGTTAAGAAGATCATCATTCAATTCAACATTACACATGTATCTGCAACCACGTCTCAAGTGTTTCATTGTGTCTTCGTTAATAATTTCTATGAAATGTTTCTTTGACTGAACTTTTTGACTATTACATATAACACACGGTATGAAACGACCACTTTTTTTCAACGTAGGCATTAGTTACTGTCACTGAATTTGAAAAACTTTGAAAAACAGTATTTGAAAAACTGAAGTCTTAGAGACGAAGTTTTTCTCTACTTTTGCCTTCTCTATGATTCCGCTGATTTCTCCAAGGCGGTTAAAAAACAAGTAAATCTTGTTTTTAAAGGCATAAGTATCGAATTTTGCCATTTTCAGTTATTTGTAGGCTAACCAAGAGATTCGAGATACCCTTCTGATGAAGCTAAGTTAATCCAGGAATTTTTTGAAAATCTCAGGTTT